TGTTCTGTGATAACTGAATAATTGTTATTGCTTTTTCTAATATCATTTCGGTGTTCTGTGATTCTCGTTTTTAACTTCCGCTTTGTCTGGCCGACATACGAAGCATCACAGTTATTGCAATTAATTTTGTAAACTACATGCTTCTTTGCCATGTTCGGTAACGGATCTTTGTGTGTTTTAATGAAACAGTTAAGCTTGTTAAGACTAAAGAAAGCCATGCTCACATTGAGATTCTTCGTGATATCCTTAAATTTATCCGAAATTTTCGATACAAAAGGGACCAAAAACCACGACTTTTTAACATCCTCAACGGGAGTTTCTGTCATAATTTTTTGTTTTGACGTTTTGTTATATACCAATGATTTTAGACGTTCATTTATTGTGTTGGAAATGAAATCAACCGGATAATCATTGTTCAACAGTGTCTCCACTACAAAAATCAGATTCTTTTTATGGTATTTAGGAACAGATAACAAAAATGCTCTATCAACCATTGCAATGATAGTTCCTCTTTTTTGAGAAAGTGGATGTTGAGAAAGAAAATTCAAATATCTCCCAGAAAATGTGGGTTTATGGTACCAATCATATTCCAACGTGTTATTATTTTTTATAACATCTAAAAAATTAAACTCACCACCCCCTATCTCCATCGTAAACTGCAGACGAGGATGAAATGAGTTAAACACTTGTGAAATCTCGGAGGTTCTGTTAAGGGGTGCTCCCATGGCAATGTCATCATATCTTACATAAAAAGGGATATGAAACCCTAAGGTGTTCAAAGCTTTCATCTCTATGTCCTGTAATACAATGTCTGCAATTACCGGTGATAAAGGTGAGCCCATAGGCATCCCAAACTTTTGTCTGTAAATGCAATTGTCAAAGGAAAAATAAGCAGAGTAAAAAATTAGTCGTAAAGAAATAAAAAATTCTTCTTTCGAAATATTAGTAATTTTTGAAATTGATGACCATCTATGAGAGATGCTGTCCAAAGCTAAATCGATCGGTATGTTCGTGAAAAGAGAAACAACGTCAAGTGAAATTAAGCCAAAATTTTCCTCTAACTCTGTTTTCCTCAAAATCTTAGTCAGGTAGAAGTTATTTTGTATGTGACTGAAAGAATTGATTCAAGAAAAGATAGCACTGATTGCTACACATTAAGTTACAAAAGAACGGTCTAAATCTACAATCTGACACCGAATTTCTACATCACGCGTACATTTCAATTCTTGACAATTTACATTGATTTTAATGATATGTTGCACTAGGTCGTATTTCTATGCTTGTAATGTTCGGATATATCGTCTTTGTTTTTTTATTGTTTATGCTCATAGCTACATGAAAACCGACGTTTAAGTTAATCTTTGACAGTTACTCATTTGATTGCTAACTGTCGTCTTGTTGACATGCATAAGTCATTACTGGGTATGGATGCGGATATACAGCGAAATTAATTTAATTTTTAATTGAATATGCTCACAGTTTGATGGGTGAGTGATCTCTTTCTCTCTCTCTCTCTCTCTCTCTCTCTCTCTCTCTCTCTCTCT